GGCTTGTTGTCGACCGCATGGGCCGCAGTCGTGCCCGCGGTGACCGCGGCCTGGTGGGATACATAGCCCATTGTCCACTTTTTTTTTTTTTTTTTCCTTTTTGTTTTTGCTTTGCTTTTGTAGTTCTATTTCTCCTCTGTTTTTTCATCGTAGCGGCAGGTCAAGTACCAGACCGTGCTGTCTACCAATGACGTCGATAGTTCTACTACCCCTGCTGAAACTGAGAGAGAGAGAGAGAGAGAAAGAAAGAGAGAGAGTTCTCTCTTCGCGCAACCTTACGTTCAGCGCCGGCATCTGTGCACAACAAGGGCGCTGACATGGACGCATAGGCTTCAGAACCACAGCGACTACGCAGTGCGGTCATAGTGGCCGAATTTTGCTTTTTTTAAGCCCCATTCGTCATGGTGATGGTTTACCTACACGACGACTTTTCAATATGTATCTGGATGCAATTGCGTCCACACCCACATTATACTCACTCCAATTGTGTCCACACCCACATTAAAATCGAATGAATTTACCGGTAGAACATGAGAATATACACTGCCTTTTTTTTTTCTTTTTTTTTTTTTTGTGAGAGAGAGAGAGTTTTCCATCGATAGGATGAGCAAAAGCATCAGACAACAGGTCAGTATTATGTATCACCCGCGGCCACGGTCAAACTCGAAGGGCGGCCGTGTTCACGGACGCCGCAGCTCTGGCCGCGGTTGGGTTCGACCGCGACTTTCAGGAATTGTTTTAGACTTCAAACAATTCTAAAAAAACAAAACAAAAAAATATAGGGTTGTAGATCTTTTCGAGATCTAAATTGCCTTTTTTATTTTTTTTATTTTTTTACTTCGTCTTCAAATTTTAAAAATTCAAAAACTAATTTTCCCGATGCAAAAGTTTTTTTTTCCCTTTTTTTTAAAGAAAAAATGTGAAACTTATGTGTTTTTTTATTTTTAAGTCCGTGACATTTTTGGATATGACCACATGGCAAAAGTTGTTCAGTATATTTTTCTGCATAATATTTTTTTTCAGAATTTTTTGAATTTTTTCTTTTTCCATGGTCGGATCGCGGCCATGGCCACGCATGGCCGCCTCCGGGGGGGATTTATTGGTATCCAACCCTGAGGCTAGCCTCACGCTATTTCCATCGATGGGAT